ATATCACACACAAGTAAAATTTTGCAGACAATAATTCAAAAACAGTTGCAGCAGTACATGGAGAGGGAGCTGCCAGAAATTCAAGCCAGATTCAGAAGAGGACATGGAATGAGGGATATTGTTGACATCAGATGGATCTTGGCTGAGAGCAGAGAATACCAGAAAGATGTTTATTTGTATTTTATTGACTAGCAGAGGCATTCAACTGTGTGGATCATAACAAGCTATGGATAATATTAGCTTGTTATGATCCACACATAACAAGAATGGAACTTCGAAAACACTTGTGCTCATGTGGAACCTGTACATAGACCAAGAGGCAATTGTTTGAACAGAACAAGAAGATACTGAATCGTTTAAAACCAGGAAAGGTGTGTGTCAGGGTTGTATTCTTTTATCATACTTACTCAAGAAAATAATCTGAGAATCTGGACTATCTGAAGAAAGCAGCATCAGGATTGGAGGAAGGCTCATTAGCAAACTTGTAGATGATATGTAGATGATACAACCTTGCTTGCTGAATGTGAAGAGGACTTGAAGCATTTATTAATAAAGATCAAGGAATACAACCTTCAATATGGATTACAACTCAATGTAAAAAAAAAAAAAAATGAAATCCTCACAAGTGGACCAATAAACAAAATTATGATATAAATGGAAAAAAGATGGAAGTTGTCAAGGATTTCACTTTACTTGGATCCAGTCAACACTCTTGGAAACAGCAGTTAAGAAATCAAGCAATGTATTACAAGGGTGAGTCAAAAATTATCTGCACTCTGGCTGTAGAAGTTATTTTAATCAACTTTTAGAAAAGACAAATACATCATTTTTCAACATAATCTCCTTGCTTTGCAATACACTTTGTTCATCTGTCAACAAACTTTTGTATTCCCTTATTTTAAAATGTTTTAGACTGAGCTGCGACTTGGTTGACTTTTGAAGTTTTTTCTTGGTCTGTGATTGCGGATGTTTCCATTCCATACTCTGCTGTTTGCTTTCAGGAAACTGACCAAGAAAAAGTTCAAAAGTCAACCATCAGCTGGAAAATTGATGCTTACAGCTTTCTGGGATTCTCAAGGGCCAATAGTAGAACACCATCAGGAAAAAAGGTTCAACAATCAGCAATACTCATTACTGTGAGATGCTCACTGAGGAGCTGAAGCCTAAACCATGGACAAAATGCAGAGGGCTGCTATCCAAGGGCATTGTGATCTTGCATGACAATGCATGTCTGAACACCTCTGTCCACACTGTTGACACTCTACAAAAACTTGGTTTTGAGCTGTTAAAAGCGTTCTCTCTATAGTCCTGATCTTGCTTCATTGGATTTTACCTGTTTGGTCCCTTGAAAGCAGCCCTTCGAGGACGAAGATTCTCATCTGATGAGGAAGTGAAAACAAAGGTACATTTGTCGCTCGCAGCTCAGACTAAAACATTTTTAAATAAGCGAATACAAAAGTTTGATGATCGGTGGACAAAGTGTATGGAAAAGCAAGGAGATTATGCTGAAAAATGATGTATTTGTCTTTTCTAAAAGTTGATTAAAATAAATTCTACAGCCTGCGGATAATTAAGACTTTATCTCAGATACTTTGGACATGTTATTAAGAGGTCCTAGTCCCTGCAGAGAATGACAAATTGAAAAGGAATGGTGTTGCATACATCGTCAAAAAGAACATATCCAGATCAGTCATGAGGTACAATGCT